TCGGCAGGGTCAGTGGAAGAGGGTATACATGGTATATGTCGGCAGGGTCAGTGGAAGAGGGTATACATGGTATATATGTCGGCAGGGTCAGTGGAAGAGGGTATACATGGTATATGTCGGCAGGGGCCGTGGGAACTTAAAGCATATTCCATCACGCAAAATGAAGCAAAGGAAAAAAATCCGTTACTTTAGAACCATATAATGTGATTTTTGGATATAATTATCGTGTGCAGTCACTATAAAACAGGTAGCTTTTTAGCAACAAAACAGACGCTGTTAATATTTATGTATATTTATGTTGTACAGTTAGAGGGCAACACTCATTTCAACGAAGTGGTCCTGAGTACATTCAAGTTCCCGCTCCTGGCCCGTCACGTCCGCCTGTCTCCCAACACCTCCACCTGTCACAACAACTGCAGTCTGCGCATGGAGTTGTACGGGTGCAAGTACGGGGCTTTTGACCGTAAGTACTGACTGATTGAATATTTGATAATTGTACCGGAGGACCGGTAATACCGTATACACTAATCTCACTCGACCAGATATTCAGAATCATTCTGGAAAATACTTTCCTAATATATTCAAACCGGGACGTTTTCAACCTTACTGAAATCTTTGCATACCTGAAGGTTCAATATAGTGTACATAGTTTCCTTTTTAACTCAACACGAACCCGATATTTAGTCTTTCTGTGCCATGTACCCTGAATGAACCAGGTAAAATATGGACAGGCTGACCAGCACGCCCAGCTAGAAGACCATACAGTAGATGGGGTCAAAGTGGGAGACATGAAGCTCACTCTGTCAGTTAATGGGCTGGCAGAAGGTGTGGCAGAATATGGTACTTCCCCCGTGTGACCACCAGCTGGGTGAACTGGTCGGGGTGTCCCTAGGGGAAATAATAGACATCTTCAGAAACCCTGATGATCAGTTGATTACAGTCCTTTTAACTTTCTCTCATAAACTGCCATGTAGGACTCCTATGTTTCTACCTATCAATTATTTTCCTGGACAGATGACGCCAGTTACGTAGGCTGTATAATAGAGACCAGGAATCCAAACCTAACACCCGTCATGGAGCGGAATATGTCAACAAACTGCTCCACGCCTTCTGCCTGCGTGGACTTGTGTAGGGACAATGGTTATCTATATGCTGGACTCAGTGAGGGTAAGGCACAATAAAACCACACCAAAACCAAATAAAAAAACAAAACATGTTCTCCATCTCGCTGTGGCCTAGCTGGCCAATGGGTTGTTTAATGACAAACACCCCAGTAGAGTTCTTCACTGCTTCTAAACCTGCAGAGATATGTAGACTTAAATAGAACCATAAAGTGAACAGAATGAAAATTCCTATGTGCTTGTACGGTAGTTTTAAATGCACAAAATAGGTACATTGATAGGTAGGTTTATCGACAATGACGGTTGAATTTAATTGTATTTTGTTCACAGACAACTTTTCCTGTTCCAACGACGTGGATAGATACGGTCGTGCACCGGACGCACAGTGTGACACAAGGTGTTCTGGCGATGCCAGCGCCCTCTGTGGCGGAGACCACCGCTATTCTGTATGGAGGACGTGGGGTAAGATGATGGACTGGGTGACGCACAAACACGAAGTTTCCCAAACAAAAGATTTCTGTAGAAATGGTCAGAAATTCTTATTGAATTCTTTATTACAGCATGTTTTAGATATTCATAAAAATAGTGTCTGTCAATTGTTAACATGTAGTTAACAATAGTAAGAGTAAAAATAAAAATATAATACAATGAAATACCAAATCTCACTCTTTCTTTTGTGCTGTAACAGAAGTACGTTGCCCTGCAGTGCCCTCTGTTGGCAATACCTCGGCCTCCAGTGTGAACAGGGACCACAATGCCCGGATCACGTACAGTTGCCTTCCAGGCTTTCAGTGGCCAGCGGGAACACTGGAGGAACACAAATCCATCACATGTCAAGTCAATAAATGGACAGCCACGCCCCCTGCTTGTGAAGGTAAGGAATTGAAGCACTCAGCAAATATATCACAGGTTTTTATAATCGACGTTTATTAAATACGACGAACCACCATTGCATTATACGATCGCCTTCATAGCATAACATATAAGATAAATTCTCACAATTCATAAACGTAATAATTAATAAAGACTTGAATAACTCCACCCACCATAATTAAATTATAAAATGTTGCCCAATATTTATATATATATATACAGGTTTGAGGAGATATTGCTTTTTTAAATTATGCGCATTTATTTGTTGTATAATATTACCATATTCTGGCAGCTGTGCAATGCACTGGGAACCCAGTGGCAGTCTCCAATGCCACCGTGACGCAGTCTGGCCACAGATACCTAGATGTCGCCACGTACACGTGTATAGGGAACCACGCCTTCCAGGATGGAACTTCCACGAAACAAGCTTTTTGCTTGAGCAGCGGGCAGTGGGATAACACTAGCGTACCATCTGCCTGCGTTCGTAAGTAGATTTAGAGTGCAGGGGAATGGTGATATTTTGCTAATAATAACGCGATAATAACAATAAGCAATCAATATTGAATTAACCTTATGTCTACCACCACATGTAGTACTTGGTGAAGATAATTTGTTTTCCTATTTACCAGTTCATCAATGCCCGGCGGTGTCCACCAGCCTTTCTCACACCACGGTCAATTCGAATGACCACGGGGCGGGGGCGGCGGTGAGGTACGAGTGTTTTCAAAACGCCACCTTCAGTGACGGCAGCTCCGTGAGGACACGTCGTTGCCTCGTGTCCGGACAGTGGGACAGTACGGAGGAGGCGTGTGGTAAGGGTTACTGTGAGTTGCCATCGCACCAGTTTGGTGGGTGGGCTAAGGTGTGTTTACATATTGCAAATGAAATCGACACTTCGCAACTTGAGCCAGGCGGCATGTATCAGGTAAGCTCATCCTACATGTAGGAGGTAAACCAAAATCGAAATCCACTGGTGCCGAAAACAGAGCAGGTCACACTGACGTGGTCTGGGTTTAGCATGAACTTCATCTTCAACTTCACCTACCAGTAGACGGTCGTTCCTACTGTAGGTAAGATCAGGTAAGTAGCTAATCTCCGTTGCCATCAATCGTCAATGGATAGGGGGCAGAGAGTGGACAGTGCAACACGTACTACACAGCCGACAGTAAACTCAAAACTAGTTTAACGAAACTGTAAAAGTTTGTATTGATTGTGATAAAACTCTCTTCAATTAACACCAGATCGTTTCAGTAAGTTTGCATGTGTTGTTTCGTTCTGTATTGATACATGTATGTCTATATTCAATCTCGCCATAATCAAAGAAAAATACATATCAGTGCCCAGCTGCAGGACATCAACAAAAAGGTAGGAACATTTCCTAAATCCATTAACTCAAGCTATACAGATCCATTTAATTACAGATGTCAATTTTCTAATTGTCATTTTTTCCTTTTCATTATTCTTTCTTTTATACTTTAGTTTGTTACTGGTGTCTGAGGTGTGGGTGTTTTATATTAACAACAACTCAACGAGTGGGATGCGAGAGAGAGAGAGAGAGAGAGAGAGAGAGAGAGAGAGGACGAATCATTGAGTTTTTTACTATAGCTGTGCGATTTTGTGCATTTAAAAACAGTTGCTTGCATGATAGCAGGACCCAGGCAAAAAAAATGGCAGTTGGTCTAAAGCCTTAGTTCTCGTTTACTCCAACCCAGCACAGACCTTAAGGAGTCAAATAGTAGTCGTAAATATTCATCTAAACTTACAATGGGGGTCCAGGGAGGACACGGCGGGGACGCACTCTTCTCTTAGCTGTAAATATAAACCCCTTCCTCCTTCACCACTTTCAAAGAAAGTGCAAAGCAGTTTAACGAGCGACATGTGCCGTACATGTTATCGTAAAATCTCGTCATTAGTTTACTATTCAAAAAATCATCCCCCCCTTAGGTGCCGCGCTCAACAAAGTGGTGACTGTAGCAAGTAAGGGGGGCGTGTTCAAACACGTTCCCTCAGATCCAACAAGGCTTTCTTTATGGTGACAGAAAGCGTTTATTCCCACCGATTGAACGGGGCCCAATTACGTCTCAGTTACAGTAGGTTCATATCTTGAACAATATGAATATCACTTACAGGTATATAAAACAGGTTTTTTGTCAAGCTGTGAGCCATCTGGCATTATATTTGTAAAATTATGACGTTGCATATGTAGCTAAGCTTTTGGCGCTTGTTCTAGAACCGACCAAAATTGTCTAACTGGGCTACATGTAACAAGCTCTTATGTGAGGAACCTGAGGGTCCGTGTAACAGAGAGGCCACCCTCCATTTTACTATACAGGTTAGGGTTAGCATAACCTAAGTGGGTCAAAATCTTAGGCCAGGCTTACAGTGCAAAGTTATAGGAACCGGACTCTCTATCATGGGGGGACTGTCTGACACAGCTACTCATACAGGTGGCAGTATCAATAGCCCGAATGGACATACCTGTCTTAGTCGTTGGTCTGTTCAAAGTCACACATAGGGAGATCTTCAAAACATGTCGCTAGTCAGATGACCATTGTTATGGAAACACAATATACCATGATGCAGTCACCGGA